TCCATGTCCACGTACGGGAGAACCCACGGTGGCAAGGTGGACGAAGCCGGCACCGTAGGGCGAGTACCAGATAACACTCGGTGAGGCAACGGTTCAACCGACGGTGCACCACCACGACGCGGCACCGAAGTGTAGGTGGCCGTAATCATGCGTCCAGGTTTAGCATCGAGAGTCCAAATAGGCGGACGGGGAGACACTGGAACAGGAGGAGAAGATGCTGGTGCTGGGGGACTTGCTGGTGGCGAAGGAGGCGGACCGGCAACGATGATTGGGGAAGTCATCATCGGCGAAGGATTTGGCCGAGGTGGGGTCGGAGGACGAGCTGGACCAAGATTGCTCCAGTTCCTCTCGGAATCTTCAATATCTTCGTCATCGAGTGTGCTTGAATGGCGGAACATCATCGCCACCACTGGGAGCATCAGAAGAATCATCCACCGAACGTTCGTTGTCATCCACGTCATCTCCACGATCGTCATCAGCATGCCCATCGTCATCAATCTCCATCTAAACGTCGGGCGAAGACACGCTTGGTACATCAGCCGTCGGAACAGTCGGAGCCGGCTTCGAAGACACGGAAGCTAGTGGAGCAGCTTCAACAGGGGCAGACCCTGCTGTAGAAACCACTCCCGAAACTTCAACTGTCTTGGACGTCGCGGCAGACGCCGAAGCAGACTTGCCTTGTGGGACAGTTTGGTCCGACTCTTCACCTTCGTCACTTGAGCCAAACATGAGCCGCATTTCCTCTGCCTCGCGCAGAGCTTCTTCAGCAGCACGTATGTCGGCTGGAGAAGGTGAAATTGTGGAAGCTGGTGGCTTGGCCACATCGTGTGGACCCTAAGGCGGCGGCAAAGGCGCGTCAGGAGAATCGGGAACGTCGTGGTGATCCCCAGAGTCCACCTCTTTACCCGAAGGCTCTGTGGCAGTTTCCTGAACCGAAGGGACGCTGCTTGGATCAGCAGTCCCCATGTCCACGTCACTCTGGTCGCCGCTGAGGTCGACCACGGCAGGAGTCGAGGAAGACGCAGGTGTAAGAGGTGGCGACCATGAACTTGGAGAAGACGGTACAGACTGGCACCGAGCGTTAGTTGCTGAACACACGGTGGAAGGCTCGACATTAAGAGCGTACCTTCAACAGCGAGACGAAGTACCTCGGGATCCATCCCTGCCAGACTCACGTGTGCACATAGGGTACGATTCGCTTGGAGGAGGCGAGTGTTACGGTCTTGCTGGTTCTCGAGGACCTTGAGCGTGTCGTTGTCAACGTACTTTGCCCTGGGCAAGCTTTACCAGAAGAAGGTGAAGCTTCCGAGTCTGCTCGGTATTCGCTCCAATAGAAGACTTGTACACCTCGCGTTCGCGAGCCAGCTTCTTTTGCAAAGTGCTGATGAAAACGTCCCGAGCTTGGACCTCGCAGTGAAGACGATTCAAATCCTCTGCGTGTCGCTCCATAGTGGCTTGAACACTTGCGAGCATGGCGTCGTTCTTGGCGTTCGAATCGCGGCGAATCTTGACATTGTGGTGTAAGGCTTCAATCTCAGCGTTGGCAGCCTTGAGGAATGTCTCCTCGTTCTCACGAGCCATGATGTGGGGTGCCACCGAACGTACGGCGGCAGCAGCCTCGGACTGAGCAAACCGCAACTGACGCTCCAAGTCGGCAACTCGTTCGGGTAACGCCGACAGCGCGTCAGGAACAGGTTGTATCGCAGCGAGGACATCATCGAAACCAACGGCAGTCTGGAGGCGACGCTGAGTGTGTATATCGCCGTGGAGAGGAGGCGCAACGCTGAGCTGCACTTGGTGACGAGCCATCGCAGTCAAGTACGGGATTACCGAGGTCATCATGTGATCGACCGATGCCTCCGTATTCTCAGCCAGCATGGCGCGCAGCGAATCTTCGGTGAGTGGTGGGGGACCACCAGTTGGGGCAGGAGGAGCAGCAGGAGCCATCTCCGCGGGTTCAGCGACAACTGGGAGTGCTGCAGGAGCTACCACAGGGAGTGAAGAGTCCGGGGCAGCGGGCGCCGGAGAGTCGGTTGATGACGCTGCTGTCGGAGGAAGAGCAGCACACTGAGGGGCGTTCGAACCCTCGGTCTTGCCCTCCTAAAAAACAAGTCGAGTAATGCGAGGTGATGAGCAAGGTACCGATGATTCAGGAGAAGGATGGGCTTACGTACCTCCAGCTGCTCACGTTCGCGACGTCTACGAGGATTGAGACGCTAAACAGCGTCGGACAGGGATCGATTCAGACGCTTGGACACACGGTGGCGAGATGGTGAATTGAAGAATGAAGAAATGTCACAACGGGCACCAGTACCGTGGCTTCCATTGCGACAGGGGCAGTTGTGGTGTAGTGATTTCTCCGTAGTTGCGGATTATCACCCGTCGACAAAGACGTGACACCGCTCAAGTTGTTCAAGCGACGAACCCTCGGTCAGGTGATGTACGGAGACGCCAAGGTGCAAGGGACTCGACGGCGTCACCTCCGAACGTTCAACGAGTATTGGATACGGGCATATGTCACTGAATCCAGGCTGTCCTTATTATTAATAATGGACTGGCCGGATTCGCATTCAGCGGACCATCTACGGTACGAACCCTCAGTGGCGGTTGGGGTGAGTTCGCGGAAGACTCAGCGACCCTTGGAAGGCACGTTCCGTCTGGGACAGGGCACGGACCGTTAAAGATGCTCATGCGACGGTGCAGACGACGCTTGGCATGCAAGAAGATCCATAACGGATCATTGTTCACTTGATATTTGTATACTTGATTAGGACTTCTTATTAGGAATAGACCCGAAAGGGTAAGCTTAAATACAGAACAGAATTTCCACTCAAGCACACAGAGCGACGTCCGGCTTCAAGGTAAGCGTCAGGTCAAGCTTGTTTGAGTGTGTTATGCCTGTCGGTGAACTCGAAGCTCTGTAGCGAGGGTTCATCCGGCAAGGCCGAGAGACTTTGTGTATTGGCCGATTATTATCGGGAGGTTTTACGTGACGGCTTATTGTTGCCTATTTGCACGGCTGGGAGTGCTTGAATTGCCTCCCTTTTATTCTTTCTACCGAGTGTTGAACACTCGGTGATCTCGTAAAAGGCTTACCCGTGCCTGGTACCCTTCCGCTGTTGGGACCACGAGGATTCAAAACACCTGCTAGCTTTACTCGTGCTAGTAGCGTGCTCTTATTTTTACTGGTTGGCCTATATAAGTAGATTACAAGGTCCAGTTTGTCCCAATGCAAGGGCAGAACTGGGGTCTTCAGGTCCGCCCGAACGATCGTTTACTATCCTAGTAGACGTATTGTTGTGGGAACATCCTAACTACATTTGTAGCTAGAGTTCACGTGGGATTTCAAACACCACAGTTTCGTCGCTTTCAATTTGAGCACCGGTGGGGCTCTATATCTATATAGCGACTGAAGAGCTCAAATTGATAACTACTAAGGTTTCACCAGGCGTCTCTATCGCCAATTTTTTAGCTACCGGGGGGTTTCGGTCGCTATTTCGGACGCCATAGCGACTGAAATCTATAGGAGGTTGGATCACTTGCATCCAAAGGCACAGCTCCAACAACACCAGGATCGCATCAATTTAGAGCGTGAGATGCATGAGTACTCAGTGCAAATGGAACGTACAAGATCCCAGGTGCAAGATCAAGCGGAAGAGCGGATGCAAAGGGCTCGACAAGAGTCTGAGGAGCGCAACCGACAGCTTGGATTTGAGTGTGTGAAAGTACTGAGCGATGTGTTCCGCAAGGACTAGCTACGTATTAAAAGGAGGAGGAATGTAGACAAGCTTCACTTTGTATTTCCAAATGCTAATGAATGTACGTGTTGCCTACAGCTATCCGGTGCTAAAATAGGCGCTTAGGCTTGGAGGCGCTAGCCCGAACTAGTCGCTGATAGTGTTGCCACCCTGCGCACAAGTAATGCAGTTCGTTAAGAAGACACTAACCCGATACATAAGTCCAACTGGTTGAATCCCAACCCGAGCTTGTCGTTTGAAATCGAGAGATGTCCAGTAGTTGGTCGCCTGCCCGTATGACCACTCGACGGAAGCTCGTACACGACTCATACTCACGTTTACTTGCCGTTGTTCTCGCGACATATTTTCAACCGCACCAGCGTAAGGACTACGCAGTACATCATCGTTACCGTAAGCTTGATCGCCATAAATCTTGTACAGTTGGAAACGGGAATCATTGCGAATCCTCTCAGAAATCTTTGAATCTTTGTTCAGTTTGATGTCACGGTTTCGACCGGGAAATGGTCCGTACAAGTGAACGATAAGTCCGTCTGGGGTTGTTAGTGTTTGATACTTGAGAGCATGCTTGCATTTGAGACCATTATACACAGATGTTGGCTCATAAATTTACCATCGCGCTTTGTGTGACGAGGTCGAGGACGACATATCCCCCGCACAGCTCCATCAATGAATGCCCACACGTTTTGCAAGAGGCCACCAGCGTCAAACACAGCGTCTGCGTATGCCTACAGATTCTGAACCACGTACGATTCGTTGAAATAAAGAAGTTATGCGTACTTGTCGTTCAAAAGTGTCAGCATGTGCACAAAAATATTTGATAGACCACTTGAATCTCTACCAAAAGTTTCTTCAAGATCCACCCAGCGAACCGGCACAGCAAGTTTGTACAAAAGGACACACAGACCCTCAACTCCAGTTGCAACCGTCCGTTCACGGGTCCGAATGCCTTCTAATCCAAAGAGCGTCACAAGCTCCACGATCTGCACCTTTGTAAACCGAAATCTGTCAACACACTGGTCTTTAGAAAGAGCGTTGAAGTTGTAAGGTGCGCGACGTACTGCTTCCACTGGGAGTTCTGTAGCTAAAAACGAGAAAAGTGCTGCCGAAATAACGGTATTTCCTTCCTCCATTGCTTGCCTCCAGAGCCGAAACAAAAACGCAGCCTTATGGTATCGGCGCACTCCTGACGTTAGCTGCCGCACAACTAAGAGCACATCGCTACCGTCGTCTTGGTTTGTCGACATGGTGGGAATTCTTGGTCAAGGTGGGATGGAGACAACGAGGTTCTCAAAGTCCCTGGAAGACATAGAGCTTGCGCATGTGCACTCCACCCAACTTTCTATTCCACCTCAACTTTACCGCTGCTTTCAGTACGATTTAAGTGAAGCACTTAGCATATGATACAACAACAATTTTCTTTTGTAGTGGTGGATTCGAAGCCACCTACCTACCTATCGCTTCATCCGCGAGATTAGGCAAAAATTCCATATGATTAACAGTATTTTCTGGATTGCACAGACTGGTGGATTGCACAGTTCTGCTAAAGCAGAACTGTGCAATCCAGAAAATACTGTTAATCATATTACTAAGTAGTACCTCTACTACTTAGTTCCTTTAGACTGTTGCGCACGGCGACACAGGCTCGCTGCATTAGCAGCGCTCAGAAGAATTCGGCCGCTGCCATCGAAGAGCGCTACGCATGCAAAGCCTTCCTGCCCGCGCCTGTCCCCGATGAGACGCTCAAGGAGATCCTGAAGCTCACATTGCGCGCCCCGACGGGCTTCAACGTGCAGCCCTATGCGTGCGTGTTGGTGCGCGAACCAAAGGACCGTGAGAAACTAGCGGAGGCCATGATGGATAGTAACATCCGCAAGGTAAAGGAAGCCCCCGTAGTGGCGGTCTTCGCGGCCGATCTGGAGCCAAGCAAGCGCGTTCCGCGTCTGCAGCAGCTGGCCCACGACAACGGTGCTTCCGCGGACTTCGTGGCTAACCTGCCGCACTTTGTGCGTCTGTTTTCTGGCGAGGGTGTGGTGGCAAGCGGTCTCCGTGCGGCCATAGCGACGGCCGTGTCCCCGCTGCTGCCTGTGCCTTCCAACGTATCGACTGAAGCATGGGCGTTCAAGCAGACAGCACTCGCCGCTGCGACGTTCCTGTACGCCGCTCAAGCACACGATCTGGCAACGTGTCCGATGGAAGGATTCGACCAGATCCGTGTTCGAAACGCGCTGGACATCCCGGACCGATACGGCGTCCCGGTCGTGATTGCTCTCGGCCACGCCAACCCGGATGCTAAGCCCCAAAAGCCTTCAGTGAGACTGGACCCGACCGAGATCTTCTTTGACGGCAAGTTCGGCAACTCAAGTGACAAGATTTTCTCCGACAAGTAACACAAGTATGGACTTTAAGCTACACAGCAACTAAGTTTTTTTTAACACACACACTTAACTTGTCATCTTGGCATGTGTGTGGCCATCTTTCCATTGAGCGTTTCACACACACACCAAGTACTGTTCTATTTCTCTTCGCATACTGCAAAGCTCGATGTTTTACCAGCTATTCAATCTCTCCAACACCGAAGTTGCCCTTCGTCCGAGCCCAGACCTTCTCAATATCGCTCGCTTGGGTCCACTGCTGCTCTGATTGGCTTGTTTTCACAGATCCTGGAGTATACTGCTTCACCAGTGGGTTCGTCAAAGTGAGCTGCTGGTCCGATTGATGCACCGATTCCCCTGACGAGGCTCCTTCCTCGGATTGTTGCACCGAATCGTCCGTCGACTGCTGCTTCGTGTTGGCTTCGTCGGAGGCTGGCGAGTATTTCGTGATAGCTGAGTACGGCTTCATCGCCTCGAGGGCAGCTGTACCGTCGCGAGAAGTGAAGTTACCGCTGCTTACGAGGGTATTCTCTTTGCACGAGCGACCCAAATACTTGGTGCACTCATCCACTCCGGTGGCAGCGTAGAGGAACCCTTCTCCTTTTTTGTATAGAGGGTTCTCCACATTATTAAAGTAGTTTCCCTCGGCAAGCATCAACGCGTTGCCATCGAGCTCGAAAGAGTGGTTGGAGAGGTTATCCCAGTAGTTGTTGGCGACATGTGCGATAACGGAAGAGTTTTTGTCGCCAACCTTCGGAGATCGGCCCGAAGTTGAATGGACGTAGTTGCTGAGCAAACTGACGCCCGTTTTCTTGCCGTAGAGCAATATGGTCCAGTAGTGGCGTCCATTGCAAGTGGCCGAGTAGTCGGTTTCTCCGTCAAAGTCCGAGTTACTTACCGTCATGGTGGCGACGCCAGCCTTGTTCGTGACGAGCATTTGACGCCCCACACGGGAAATCTTCACGTGGTCAATCCAAATATTGCTCATCGTCTTGGTGCCGTTGACTGTTCCTTCCATGTAGAGCGCATCGCCACCCCAGACGAGATGACGGTTCAGCTCGGTGATGTGGATGTTTTAAACGATGATATTGTCGCCTTTGAGTGAAATGCCCTTGCCCATGATAACTCCGCGTCTACCAATACCACGAATAGTCTTGTGGCTGGTGACGTTCATACGCCACCGATAAGCGTTGTCGTACGTCACTGTGGTCTCCGTGCCGTTCTCACAACCACCGGTGTTGTTCATGCCGTTCTTGAGAATCACGTCTTGGCTCTTAAACCCATTATTGGCAGCGATGCATTCGCGAGCGCTCTGTGGACGGCAGCCGATCTCGGTTGTCTTGCCCTCAGTACCGCGAAAGTCGAAAGTCTTGTTCAGCACCACGACGAGTGGCTCTGACGCGTTCAGATAGTCGACCAATTCCTTGTTTGTTTTCGGATACACGACGGTACCTTTGGCCCCACCGGTTGTACCAGCAGCTAAACCCGGAGCTGAGCCGATAGTGAAAGCACTCGCACTCTTGACTGCCAGAGCCAATGCTGCGGTGATAACGAGTTGGAGACGCCCCATGCGCCCTAGACTGTAAAATCTGACTTGTGATCTTGAGAGTAATGACAAAGTTGTTAAGTCGTAGGATAATGCATGGAGTGTACCGGTACATGTACGCAAGTGTAAACATTTGGCGCGACGGGCGATAGGATTCATTAATTTCGATGGGATCAGTTAATCTGGGGTACTGTAGTCAGACTATTAATACGGCAGTGCCGTATTAATAACGGCACTTCCGAGAGAGCCCCAGGTGTTGATCCTGGGATGAGAAATACCATGGAGCTCGAGGTACATGTACCGAAAGTTCGATAGGATGTACCCAAAAAGCAATCCAAAGGTAAAATAGCAATGTCGTTAACTGGGAGGATGTCGTCCGAAAGGGTGATCGGACACCCTTACGACCTCCCACTTTTAAAGATCAGTTAAGTCGTCAGAGCCACAAGCAGACTAAGTCGATGAAGCGTAAAGTCAAACTAAATCTGCGGTTTTCGACTCCGGGTAAACCCTTAGTGTTACGGAACGAGGTCTGTTGGATTACTTAGCAGCGACCGCTGCTACCTGGTAGGAGTGGGCGATTTATTGGAACGATTAGAATATAGCCCAAAGCAACTGCTCACCGCCGCACAGCAGATTCAGACTGTATGGGATATTACCTGCGTGGATGATGAGACCGATACGGGGACTGCGAGTATTTTGGCATATTGGAGAGCGGTTGAGATGCCTAAACCGACGAAAGAGGGGTGAAGGACCCGCATAGTACTTTAAGCGGCTATTGTGAGCCTCACGGCGCTGGCTAAAACTCAGGCTCTCGATTTTAGACTGTTGCTGTTACTCGAGCAGGCCCGTACGTTTTCACGTCGACTCGAGGTACCCAAATTTAGAAATTGGGGTAATATGGTGTACCCAAATGCATTTTGCGGTTTTTTAGAAAACATCGAGCTGTCATGTTGCGTAATTGAGCTGCCACAATCGTATTACAATACTTAAACAGACGACCACGAAAAAAAGCCAGCACTAACCAGTATATACTAGATGCTATTATACGAAAAATACGCCATAGTTTTGATTGAGAATAATGACCACGAAAGATTTGCAAATTTCAAAGAAGGAACGTAATTTTTCACGGAAGACAATGATTGCGAGAACGCTGCAATTTCACACTACCACTCTGTTCCATCTCAAATCTAGCACTTCTCCTTTGCTGACATATTTATTAAACTAATGGTGTGATTTAGCTAAACGAGCCCACTACGGAAAGCCCTGCCTTAGCTCTATAAAGCAGTATTTTTTTGGTAGATCATAGTCAAACAGCAACGAAGTACAGAGCAAAAGAGCGTCATTCGTTTTGACGGGGTGGACGTCTGGTTTCGCAGTGGGCTTCCCAGTGTTGGAAAATTGCTGAGGTTTTCAGAAGAGATCGATTTTGCTACGGTCTTACAAGATGTGAAAATAGTTCTTCAAAAGCTGCTGTCTGTGCCGCGTTTGCCTGAAAAACGCTTTTGACCAATTACATCTATGTATTTACAATCTGACAAATTTTAGATCTCGCAAAAGGTGAAAATAAATAAAACAAGGTGTGTAGAAAAGAGTTCATCATAAAATAAAAGATACTAATTTTGAGTTGGTGGCCCTTCATTTTATTAAGTGTCTCCTGGCCCTTTTTGCCAAAGGGTCGCAATTGGAAGCACTCCGTTGCGAATGTGGTGCTTCGAAACTCGGGGCAGTTTGTATGTATCACACGCAATGACAGATTCTGGTATTTTTTGTGCTGTCAAAAAGCACTTATCTATAGTCGATCACAGTAAGTTTTTTCAGCTTCCGCAATTAAAGCATCGATCTTGTACGTTGGTGTGCGGTATTGAGCCGACTGTAGCAAGTTAAACAGACCCAATTCGAGTACGTTCATATCGGGCGACTTAGCTGGCTGGTATTTGATAGCGATGTTGACAACATCAACATTTGTTGTGCCTGCCGTTAGAGCGATCAGATGGCAGCACTTCATGCTTACTGTATCTGCACCAGCTACATAATACGTGTCAGCTGTAGCCACAAATTAAAAAATAGCAAATCTCTATTCTTAGCCTAATAATAGCCAATGATATCATTTATTTTTGTGCGGTCGCTCGTTGCGTTAGATTTGAGATGGAACAGAGTAGTACAGTGCATAAAATGCAATATTATTGGCACTCTATCTCTGTGGCTGCACATCCAATGTTGATTCTTCATAGCCATAGACGGGACTTATTTTCATAGAGTCCACTTCTTTTTGTGCTGCTACCAAAACGTGAGGTGTTGTAACGGATGAAATCCATCCAATGACAATGCAGCGTGAGACCGTGTCAGGCCTTGTCGCAAAGACTAAATCATAAATTATCAAAATTAGTAACTGGATTGGTGTTCACTAACTCGCACCATTGATACTGCTATGTGGTCCACAACTCGTATAGCCAAAAATGCCGAAGCGGCTGCCGTGGATTGAGAAGGCCGTCGCAGCCGACGCGGCCGAGGCGGACGTGTACCTGGAGGCCCTAAAGAGTTTTGACGTGATCAAGAGCCACACCATGGCGTGCACGGCGTGTCTTGGTGGGGGGGGCACCACAACATGCGGTACAGACTGCTCGTCTGCAGCTCTGAGACCTGTGACGAGGCCTCTGACGTGCAATTTGGCTGGAGGGGGAAGCTCCTTACCTGTCTGGACACGAATCGCGTTTCTATATACGAGTTTGGCGTGCACACGACCGAAGTCTCATCGCCAAAGAAAAAGAAGTTGACGTCTGCGCATAAAGCTTTCTGCCGAGAGATGGCAGAGCATCATCTTCGTCCATTGCGAATCCACCATGCCATGTCTCGCAAATTCGCCACTTCTCTTGAGGCCTTGCCCCAATCGAGTGTCGTCCAGAACTGAGTTAATAACTACTCTCGCGCTCACCTCGACAACCACGACCTGCTAGACGAGCTAATGGACTGGATCCATGCGAGGCGTTTTACTGAAGGCGAGTCTAAGGACCAGGCTTTTACTTTTGGATCGGAGGTGGACAACCAAGGCAAGCCCGTAGTAGGCAACGGATCGGATGAAAACCCATTCATTATTGATCTTACTAGGAAAGGTATAAAGATGCAGATGTTACTCCCGCCAGACACCTTCATCTTGCACGTGGATGCGACGTACAATTCGAATCAGCGTGGCTATCCTGTGGTAGTAGCTGGAATCTCGCATCGCGCTAGAGTATTCCATCTAGTGGTACCGTTTATCGTATCTCAAGAGACGGCTCCCTTTTTTGAAGCTGTATTTTGGTCTCTTCGGCGTTTGTTTTACTACATTACCTTGTCGTTCGAAACGCCATGGCCGACGCTGACCAGACCTTGTACAACGCCCTTTGCGCTGTATTCGGCCATACACCCGGGTTCCAGTTTTTGATGTGTTTCATTCACGTCGTATAAAACGTCATGAAAGCGATCAAGGGCGTTCCCTCGCTCATAGACATTAGTCTACTATGAGATGTGTACGATTTGCACTTTGTACGCACCGATATCGACTACCACCGAGTTCGAGGAGAGATTCTGTCAAATTGGTTGGAGAAGCCATACTTGGCTGGTTTCGCTGGATACATGAACGAACGATGGTTAAAAGGACGGTTCTGGAGATGGCAACGATGCTAGACACCTGCCGGTTTCGCTGCAACGAACAATCCGGCCGAAACATTTAACGCCAGATTGAAACGAGACTATACCCTACGGCGCCGCCTAAAAAAGGGCACTCTTTTGCGAGAACTTTCTGCATGCTGCCATGACGTGTCGGCTTCAATGCCACAATTTAGATTCGAGGTCACCGTGCAGCCAACCCTCACACGCAGAGTGCGTGAAATGGTCAATAACTCTCGTATTGGTATGCGTACCAGTTCTATTACGATTGCTCCGAGTTCTGGGCATGATAACAGAATTTACGTTATCTCTACATTGGCAAACCGCGTTCAAGTGGCGCCTCACAAACGGTCTGAGGAAGGAATCGCCGTGTCGGCTCAGATGGGCAGCAATTATGCCCGCATGGAGGGCCAAGGACAGCCCTTTGGTGGATGGCCGGTAGATTTAGATGCTTGCTGGTGTCCGTGTGTGTATTGCTACGCGTTTGGAGTGTGTGTTCATGTGGTGTACGCTCTGCAATCTACGGAACACGTGGATGTTCGGGGACGAAACGTTCTCGTCGACAGGAGCAAAAATAAGCGTTAATGTGGTGAGGAAGCGCCGTTCGTGGGAAGGCCTCGCCTTATTGAATCAGCTCTGACTATGCAGTAGTCCAGAAGCCGCCCAGGTGAAGGCTAGAAAAGCTCACACTCTCTAAATAGCTTGCGAGCTGCATTAAATAGCTCATTCACACGAGGGTTTCTTAGAAATGACTGCTCTACCTATTTTAAATTGCGGTGAACTAGGGAACATGATTTTGCTTTGATCACAGCTCGATCGTAGATAGCAAGGATAGCAGCTACTGCTGCCGCTTTCAGCTTCTGGGATCGAAAAAAGGAACAATCGTTATCAGTAATTCTTACGAAGGTGTTCTGTTGGTTGGGTAGGTTTCCTCGTATCCACAAGGCTTCATTTAACATTACGGTTGTAGCATCAAATTTATCAAAGCACGGAAAATAGATAGGAAACTTCTGGAGGCTCGAGAACGCTATGAGTGTATTGGTCAATCACTATAAAATATATTTTGGGGGGAGCTAACCCCTACAATCGGACTTGCTGCGTTCTGGGCCTCGACAAAACAGATCCTAAAATCAATACCTTCCAGTAGCCGGAATATAGAATGTTATCAAAAGTGTGATAATAAAACATACATACATTGCGTTCAATTATCTACGTTGTGAGCGTTTGCTAAATTTCCTACTTCAATCGTCCAAAGCGTCGGCCTCCACCCAGCACTAATCACAAGCGCAATTAAACCACGTCTCATCTCCGTAATGAACCGTTATTTATGCCCAGCCTTCACGTTTTCAATCATTTGGACCAACGCTTTCACATTTCTC